TTTTGATTTACACTTTCGAGTTGAACGTGTAGCGTCCCAGCATACAGGAGGACAAACGACTGGTGTTGAGGTAGATGGATTGGGTGTAATAAGTATAACAACTTAATTTGTGCAGTAAAAGTGTTTTATTTACATAGTAATCAAATAAATATCTAATAAATTAATCACAAAATAAATTTCCTGCCTTCTTACTCCCACCTTCAATCTTTTCAATTTTACAGGGTTACCATAGGGTGATTTCTTAATCAAGTTTTTTCATGTCTTTTCACTACTCTTTTCACGTCATATACTTATTATGCTATATTGTATAAATTGTATATTATCTCTTAAATAATAAAAAAAAGATAGCAAGAAGTTAATTATATTTTATCATACATTATTGCGTTTGATAAATTAATTTGTATTTATAACGTTAATATTTATAGAATGATTATAAATGCTTAGACATTAAAAATAGTTAAATTATTAATTTATTATGGCGAATATYCAATACATTACGAGAAGACTCGTATACAATATTTATTGCCATAATGTCATAATAAATAATAATACAAAATCTATGAAAATATAATTTTATTTTCAAGTTAAAAAAATTCACCAAAGTTTAAAATGTATATAAATGCTTAAGAAAATATATTACCATACAATGTAATCTATTGAYTTTTAGTTTGATATTCATTGACTGTGTGTAAAAAAACATTAAAAATAGAGCAACGCAACAATCAGTTGTTGGAAAATGCTAGAGGATACGTTTTGTGAGAGGGAGGTGGTGGTGTTGGTTCCGTCGATCGTAAGTACGATGTTGATATAAGAACGAATTTATATGGCGTGGTGGAAAATGTTACTCAAATAATAACATTATAATACGTTCTAACATACAACGCGAACACCTAATAATAATCTAGAAAAGGTATTTGTGTGGATACCTTGTGAAGGTGCGTGTCAGTTTTAGCTAACAGCGCCGCCGGTTGCAAAACATATATTTTCGACCGAAAATAATTAGGTACGTTACCTATTATATATATTGTTGTTGTTTTTGTGTTTGTTTGTATAGGTAATATAATACGTACTACTGCGCCACGTTTAGGTACCCTTATCCTATAGAGTAACTCGTGGCTGAATAGCATCGTAAGATCATATTAAATTTGTGTTTGCTTCACCTCACGCGTAARTACCTACAACGGCTACAACAGCACACTCAGTATTCACAAATACGAATATTATTGGATGATGCGAACTATAATTTTTTGGTGCCAAGAAAGACTCTATACTTTATAAATGGCTCTATAGTAATGATCTTTTCAGATTTATCGATTTCGCATAAATTTTTTTGATTAACGTCGTCACGTCATGTTCAACTCCGACTTATTTTGAAAATCAAACTATGGTTTTATCGGTCAACACAAACAGAAGACGCTCATTTTCTGTATCCCTATAATGTAGCCCGTGGCTGAATAGCTTCGTAAAATCCTATTAAGCTTATGTTTTCTATACCACACGTGTAGGTATTTAATTAAAAAGTACTTTTTCGTTAACACGAACCTAGTTACCACAAATTATTGGATGGATAATGTAAACCGTAATTTTTCTGTCCCGAAAAGGCTCTAACTCACGAGTTTTTTCTTTTCTCTGCTTCATACGAGTTTTTCAGTTAAGACTTTACAAATCTTTGACACATTTTTGGAACCATATGTCGTTTTGTTTTATTAACACGAACAATAGACGCTCATTTTCTATTTTCATTTCATTACATAATATATAAAATTATCTTTGGATATTACAACTAAACAAGTAGGTAAACAATAACCTATGTAGGTATACAAAGATGTTTTCGTCTCTCTAATCGATGCATTATCTTCTTCCAATATACAGATAGTATGTTTGGTGTTCATCGCTTTAGTTCAAGTTAATTATTCTATCRATTAGTTTCAAATTCATTTTGTAAGTAATACGCTGCGYGAAGTTGAAAATTTAAAAGTAGAATKAGCTTTAATAGGTATCAAACGTAAAAATGAAAATCGTATTAACACAGAAATGTAAAAAGTCCTATTTAAAAAAATCTTATTTCCGCTTTATATTTATGGTGTAAAATAAAAATAGAATATTATTTWATTATTTCGATTCATWAGAATTAAATTGAAGTCATGTACTTAGGTAATTTRTTATTAAAAGTTTAGATTAGTAAACAGTGGACAAGCATAATATTATAAAGAGTATTTATATACCACTCTATTTCGCTCATCGGCTCATCTATACTCAAAAATGTAGTACTTATAAGTAAAAACTACTCCAWTKAAATACGAATTTTTATATAATGAAGTTTTAGTAATTTTTAGTTTATATTATTTATAAATWTTTAAATTAGTGTACAAATAAAAATTTAAATAATATACAAATATTAAACATTTAAATTTGCATGAATAATAGTAATGTGTTGTGTAGTATAGATAAATMAAAAATTTTTCTTGTTAAACACACATTATAAGAGAAATAAAGGTAAATAATGTTGGATTCAGATAATAATATATGAATCAATTATTGTTTATGAATTAAATGGTAATATAACGTTATGATGACACGGCGTCATGGATAGGCAATTTCATGGTCATGGCGGTCGTGGTTMCGTTTTCTCTGTAATATAATAGGTGTATTGAGCGTGGTTTATATACAGGTCAATATAATAAATATACAAGAAAGTTTAAAGTCAATTAGTTTGAACTTTATTACAATTATCAACAGTTCAATGTTCTYATAGTGAATATAGCATTTTCTTGATAACTTTGAATTAAATAATCAGTGTTATTTTTATTTTTAGTGGAACCTCATCTATATATATAAAATTCCCTCATTATTAAATCAGTTAATGAGATGGAAAAATTTATAAAAACTGTTTAATAAACATACAAATAATTAGCTAGGTAGTATAATATATATAAGTGTTAATAATAAACTGCATTAGGTTTTTATGGGATTTATATACAAATTATGYATTCTATACATTATTGAATGACATGAATGTTGATGAAAAAATATAATATCTAGTTATTCAACTTTTACAATAATTATTTAACATAATATTTATAACTTTTGATTCATATTTATAGTAGATTACATAATACAAAATAWAATATTCATTTATTTTATTTACTTTTAATAAAATAAGAAAAAACTTAAAATTTACGAAAATATTACGTAAAATTTAAATTGAACTTCAGAACTTACAATAGACGTATGACTAATTGTTAATAGTTGATCATGAGTTGTTATAATTATTATGTTGAACATTACGACTGCATCAGAGTATAATAATTGATTTTTGTAAAACGAAATGTATAAGATAAAAATTGACGTAGTCTGTGTCAGGTGTAGATAAAAAAAGTCCCGTCAGACGTAATGTGCTTGGTTATTATCTAACAACTTAATTGATGACATTTTAAGCTGCGCGTAGTCATATTAAAATAAAATAATTTAATACAACTTGTAAAACACCAATACATTTGTCTCCAGTAAAATATCTATAGAGAAATATCTATAGACCAAAATTTTATGTTGATGAATAGTTAATACATGATAATATATTGTAATCTTTAATTTATGAACATTCTGTTTATTTTGTGTAATATATAATAACTCAAATTAATAAACCACAGGTTCTAAAAAACTAAGTTGGGAAAGTAATTGAAGAAGATTGTAATCGACTTAAGTTACCTAGTGAAAGATAAAAATATAATGATAAAAAAATTAAGTTATGAGTTAATAGTTATAAAACAATAAATTTAAATCAAAACGTTTTAAATTTATAGGGGAGGAGAGGAACAATATTAAATTAACTCAGTTAAAAATTAATTAATTTTTTAACTACCACCTGGATCACATACTGGAGTTATTGCTATTTAATGTTCAAATCGCTTAATCAATAATAAAATTAATTCATTCTAACATTCTTTCTTGTCACACACCAACAGCAGCGGCTTAGGCAAAATCGCACGTCAGTGTCAAACTGTCAACTAAAATCTAAATTATTGAATTAGATTTATTAGTTTGGTGTTGAATTATTTTTAAAAATCAATTGAAAACATTTAAGTTTGATAATAATGGTATTGGASAGGAGATCGATCAGTAAACTAACTAATTCATTATTTCTTTTTACTGGTATTAATTTTTTGACCGGTTAATGCCTCTACCTTTGCTTCTAGGTGTACCATAATAATGAAGTAGTGTGTGCATAATATGACGTGCTCACAATAACACATGTGGTAAGATGTGTAGGAAAAAACCTAACCCAATAATYTGACCTGACCTTACCCTTGCAGGAACCGTAGGAACGTGACGGCCAACCAACTGTCGTACTGGACGAACGCGACCGGCACCAATGCCAACGTGGCGGACGTGGTGGCCACGCACCACAGCATTATGGAGCGCTCGTAACCGCGACTCGAGTACACGCCGCCCGGGAGAGTGGACACCAGCGTGCCGAAAAAGTATGCGCCCATCGTGACCGCCTGTTCTCGGATCGTCCAGTCCATCCGCTTGGCCACCACGATCGTAGAGTTCACGCCCACGTCCAGCATGGCACCTGGACACGGCGGCCGGTCAGCTAGTACCGCCACTAGCGGTACGATCATCATCACCATCATCGAGTAGTTGAAATGTACCCGGACGGTCAACAGAAACGAGTACGCCAAGAACATCATCGTCAGCCAACCGTTGGTCGCGCACATCTTCTGACGCTGCCGCATCGTGCATGACCTGACCACATTGATGTTGATACCGCTGTTGCCGTCTTCAGTATCGTTATTGTTGTTTTGCTGTTGTAACGCCATCTCGGACATCGGTATTGTAATATAAAACAGCGAACGGATCRTTATAAGGTGTACGACGAATCGTCGTTGTTGTTCAACGCCAAATGCTGAATAAATCAATATAGGTACTATCAAGTAAAAAATCGCTACAATGAGTAATCGAATGTATGATGTAATGCTATTTTGTAAGAATTTAAGTGTTGGTCAAAGGTTCGTCCTTAGATCTAATTAAAAGGGGAGGATAATAATAAAGGGTAGAAGTATATATTAATTGCATATTTGAATATTGAGGTTTTAAATAGCGGAACATAATATTATCCATTTTTATTTTTACGGACATAGGGTGTTTGTAAACATGGATGGAAAYTATTTAAAGATAACTTTATTTTAGAAGTTTTTTACATTAATAATATATGTATATATATATAAATATTTATATTTATTCAATGTACGTATGTTGTAAAAGGATGTCATTCTCGCATGAGTAATTGTTTGCGACTTACTAATAACGCATAACAAAGAACATTTTAAGTTCGAAATACTTCATTTTATTACCCATGTTACTTTAAATATTATTGAGGATTTGTTTGTAAGTAGAAAAGCTCTCGAATGTTTTATTTTTATTTTTTTATTTTGAAAAAAGTGTTATGATTTATGAGTAAGTATTTAAAAACTTAAGATATACGTATTTTTAAAATGCTCATACTTTATATTTTAAAATTAAAATATCAAAAAGCTCACAAAGGGTCCCTAAATAATATTGCGTTTACATCTGATGACAAGTCAAATAACTCCGAAATTAAAAACAATTGAGTTAATGGATTATTCTGAATGTAAAATTCGAAAGTAGGTGGGTTATTAAKACACAATACGCGGGTACGACGTCCTCAAGAAATTGTAAATAAATAAGTTTAACGACATTTCAAGATAGTATAATATAATAAAAAATTATTCAAACTTAACTATTTAAATAATAAATATTATTATTATTATTATCAAGCAATAACTAATATGTATAGTATGTATCGTGT